CTTTGGTCCATTTCACACCCCAATTTCCCTCGCGCAGAGAGACTAGTTCTAAATGCTGTGATGCTGGGAAAACCCCGGGGCACTTTATTCCAGTGCAGACCCGGCCCCTCCCACCGGGACCAAACCCACCCAGACATTGGTACCCCGCTTCCCAGGCACAGAGCCTCTTAGCCAAGCGCAGAACGAAAGGAGCCGCTCTGGGGGATCCCCCCTGACACAGTCCCCAGGGGACCAGGCAGAGGCAGGAACTGGCTTTTCCTCTCCCTGCTCCTCACTTTGTCCCAGGAAAGTCAATCTGCCCCGGGGGCTGCAGGGAATGGGGCTGGGCAGGGCTGGGAGCCGGGAACCTTCCTCCCCACTGATTGCTCCTGCTGCCCCTGCTAGTCTCTGCCCCTGTCTCCCTCCTGCCCCCTCGGGCTGGGAGACTCGGTCCCTGGCCCGCCCCGGGCGTTCGCTCTCCTGGAGCTGGCTCGGCTCCTGCAGGCGCTCAGGGGGGCAGAGCCTGGGGGGGATCAGGGAGGGCAGCAGCTCTGGGACTCGCAGACCCCCGCCCCCCCCGGGAGCAGAGCTGGGGCGAGGAGGGGCCGTTGGTGCAGAGTCACTTTCCTGCCCGGCCCCAGCCCTATCCCCCGGGTTTCTCCCCTCACCTGCAGGCTCCGGCTCAGGGGCTGGTGTCGGCAGAGCCCGGGGCTGCCCCAGGGGCTGGTTCCAGCCACCGCAGAAAGTTCCCATCTCCCAGCACAGAGCCCACTGGGGGAGCAGCAGCTGCACATCAGGCTCCCAGATCACAAAGGAGGCAGCAGCAACAGCAGCATCTGACCCAGGAATCCCAGAGACCCCACCTCCCCCCCATGCATGAACAAATACAGACAGAGAACACACAAGTTGCCCCCCCTTAGCAATAGCCACAGCCCTCCCGGTGCCCCCGCCCATCATTGTGCTCCCAGCAGGTGTGGGTGGGGCCCCCACCCATCCACTCCCTGGAAAGTGTTGGTGGGAGGAACCCACCTTGCACATCCACCTCTAGGCAAGGTGATTTTGTGGCTGGGTCATCAGGGTGAGTGCTGGGGGAGGTGCCAGAGGTTGGGAGGGGAAAAGCAGCTGAGGAGTTGGGAGCTCTGGGGATTTTATTGCAAAACTCATGATATTTGGGTTTCTTTAAAATTTTCTCGTTGTCCTGTGATCACCAGCATCTGCCTTGCAAATTCTCCCTCAGCCAAAGCAATTCCCATCCCCCTGTTACTTTCTGTGGGCCTGAATTCACGCTGCTCTCTCAGAAAATGCCTGCCAGTCCCTAGGAAGCTGCCCCCCAATAAATAGTTTGGCCGACTCCTGTTGTTCAGCCAATGAGTCTGAACCCAGGCTAAAAAAACAACAAGGAGTCTGGTGGCACCTTAAAGACTAACAGATTTATTTGGGCATAAGCTTTCATGAGTAAAAACCTCACTTCTTCGGATGCATAGAGAGAGCAGGGAAAGAACTGGACAGTGTCAGATAATAAAAAAATACAGTCGTAACCAGAGAGTTGCACACTTCATTGCTTGTCGGCTGAGCTAACTGCACACAGTAGGGCAGTGGTCCCCAAGCTTTTGAGGGTCGCACCCCCTTCTTCCCCATCCATGTCCCCCCCACAGCCAGGGCCAGGAGCGGGGCCGCAGCTCTCGGGGGGGGGGGGAAAGAGGGGAATGTGGACAGGGGCAAGGGGGCTGAGGCTGGGACCACAGCTGCGGATGGGTCTGTGGCTGGGAGCAGAACTGCAGCCGGGACCCCAGCCGGACGTGGAGCAGCAGCGAGACTGGGGCTGAGGTCAGGTGCAGGGTCGGGAGCCAGGGCCGCAGCTGGGGGTGGGGCCAGAGCAGAGCTGGGGGCGGGATGGGGCTGGGTGATGCTCCCTCTCCATCCCCCATGGGAGCTGGCCTGGCCCACTGCACCCCCCCGAACATTCCTCCATGCCCCCCTGGGCGGGGCCCACCCCAGTTTGGGGACCTCTGCACTAGGGGATCCCTGCATCATTCTATTCCCCCTGCAAGTTCCATGTGTGCCTACCTCCCATCGCCTCTATTTCAGGTTCCCCCATTCCTCCCACCCCCATGCCAAGGGCTCCAAGGGCTCCCATTTTCCCCTCAACATTTTAATCTCTGCTAGGACTATGGGGCTGAGATGCGGAGTGTTGCTAGCTGGAAGGTATCAATGGTTGCCATCAATGAGATTGTAACATCACTCCTGAGTTGCGGAAGGCAGGTGAGAGTATTGTTGTCCTGTGGCTGCATAGGCTCTTCCAGACCCTCCAGTGCACTAATACCATCCCCCATGACTGGAAGAAGGGTGTTATTCTGGTTCAAACTTTGGTGGCACAAATAAGATGGCCAGTGATGGATATAAACTGAATAGACCACCTTCAGCACCTAGCCAGAGATCAATATGAGTGGCTCTCAATTTCCAAGAAGGCCACATTCCTTTGGGATTTGCCATGATCAACCAGTTCTTTGATCTACAGACAATTGGAGACTCAGTAGGGTTTGGCCCAATTGGATGCAGTGTTCAAAAGTTATCGCGTTACATCCAGATAAACGGAGAAATACCATCAAATTGATTGTTGGTCTTCTCTTTCCTCAGCTAGATAAGGACCTTTCCCTGCTCAGGTATCTGCATCCTTCTTAACACACAGTAGTGATGTTGCATGGTTCCCTGGGAGGTGGGAATGCAGCAATTACAGATGCATCATGCTGTTGTCAGTCCTGAGGAAAATCTTCACTCCTGTGTTAATGTCTTGAATTAACGAAGCACTTTTGCGAAGGCCACGATATTCACAGTGTGACTTGAGACCTCATTGTTCCGCGATTGACCAGATCTTTACTGCGAGACAGCTTTGTGAGAAGATGGCTGAACTTAATAAGCCATGCACAGCCATGGTACAGATTTCCGCCAGCATTTTGATTCAGTGCACTGAGCGAGGCTGTAGGATCTGATGAGGTGACTCGGCATCCCTGGGTATCCTTGACAGAAGAGCTCCGTCATGGAAGGGAAAGCACGGTGTCCTATATCTACGCAAGTTCAACAAGGCTGAGTTTTGACACCATCGCTGTTCAGTGTCAACAACTGATCGGTTGACAAATAAGCTTGAGGAGGCAGAAGTGGGTGGAATTGAGCTGAATACCACTCCTCTTTGAGATCTCAAATACATCAATGGCATTGTCTTGCTGGCTCAGTCTCAATTGCACATCGGTATGGTTATTAATCCCCAGTGGCCTCCAGCTCCAGATTGCAATCAGCTCAGTATTAACCTGTCCAGACAGGAGACTGAGCAAGTGGCAACTGTCAAATATTTGGCCAGTGTCATGGACAGGGCTGCAGGATGCTCAAAAGATGGCACTTATACAGTAGTGGTGGTTGCCGTGTTTCGGGCATTTCAGCAGCCTTTGTGGGGAGGTTGTGACATCAAGCTTGCTACGAAACTGTGGCTCTAAAAAACCATGGCTCCAAACCATTGTATGGAAGTGGGCGCTGAGGAAGACTGAAGAACATCACATTCTCGTCATCTGCATCAACTGCTCCCGATCCAGTGGCAGGACAAGATCAGAAATGAGGCTATTTGAAGCCAAACCCAGCAATCACCTCCAACAGGTTTGGTTTCAGTGGCTTTCTTGGGCCTGGTCCACACTAAGCCCCCAGTTCGAACTAAGATACGCAACTTCAGCTACGTGAATAACGTAGCTGAAGTTGAAGTACCTTAGTTCAAACTTAAAAGTACTTACCGCGGGTCCACACGCGGCAGGCAGGCTCCCTCGTCGACTCCGCCTACTCCTCTCGCAGAGCAGGATTACCGGCATTGACGGCGAGCACTTCCGGGATCGATTTATCGCGTCTAGACAAGACGCGATAAATTGATCCCAGAAGATCGATTGCTGGCCGCCGAACCAGCGGGTAAGTATAGACGTACCCTTGGTGTGGACATATTATTAGAAAGGAAGACCAATGAGTTCCAAAGTGTGTGTATGAAAGAATGCCACTACACAGACAAGGATCACATGGGCACCAAAATCTTTTTGGAGACTCGGTAGGGTTCGGCCCAATTGGATGCGGTGTTCAAAAGTTATCGCATTACATCCATATAAACAGAGAAATGCCATCAAATTGACTGTCAGCCTCTCTTTCCTCAGCCAATTAAGGACCTTTCCCTGCTCTGGTACCTGAATCCTTCTTAACACCCAGTAATTAGTGCGGTTGCATGGTTCCCTGGGAGGTGGGAGACTACTATTATCCCCATGGCGGGAATGGGAGGAACAGATGCACAAAGAGGAGGGGAGGAACTGAGCTGGTTATGGAACCTAGCATTCCAGCCTCCCACTTCCACCCTCCACTCTAATCTAGACCTCACGCCCTTCTCAGAGCTGGGATCTGAACCTAGGAGTCCTGAGTCGCAATTCCCCCTGCTCTCACTATTACACAATACTGCCCTCACCGGAACTGCGCAATCCCCCAAAGACCCCCACCTCTCCAGGGAATCTCCACCTCAAATCCCCCCAGTCTCCAGCAACTGCCTGTGTCTGCAGAGATGTACAATACACTGAACATGATGCTAAAATTCTGCAACTTCTGATCAGCATCTCTTACCGCCTGGTAACTACAGACCCACCGGGCCCGTCGCTGCTTCCCTGAATAATGTGCCTCTGCCCCTGCCCAAGAGGCCTTAGGAGCTGCCGACATGTCTCCGAGACAAACTACAAGGGAGCTTTAGTTTACCTCTTCTCTAAATTGGAAAGTGTGTGTGGAACCCTCAGAAATGTCTCCCCATTGATTCCATCACCTGCTCCTCCCAGACCCTGATATGACCCATCTCCCCAGTAGTGCCTAGTGCTCCCTCCTATTCTGGCCTCCACCACCATCCACTGGAACCCAAACCATGTAGCCACCTACTGTCCCACCCAGATCCACCCTCAAATGAAGCAAATTATAATTTGTTGCAGGTGGGCACAGACCCATTGCCCCACACTGAGAGCTCCCATCTTCTGTGGACTTTTTGATGGGAAATTAGAGCAACCTTCGCTTTGTAGCTTTTCCCACAATCGGGACATGTATAGGGTCTCTCTCCCGTGTGTGTTCTCTGATGAACAACCAGGTGTGAGCTCTGAATGAAACTTTCCCCACAATCAGCACAGTTATAAGGTTTTACTCCGGTGTGGATTCTCTGATGAACAGTGCGGTTTGATTTTGAACTGAAGCTTTTCCCACAGTCGGGGCATTTATAGGGTCTCTCTCCCAAGTGGATTCTCTGATGTGAAATAAGGTTTGAGCACCGCGTGAACCTGTCCCCGCACTCACAGCAGGGATAAGGTTTCTGACCCGAGTGCGTTGTCTGGTGCGAAATGAGGTGTGACCTCCGAGTGAAGGTTTTCCCACAGTCACTGCACATAAATGGTTTCTCTCCTGTGTGCAGTTTCAGATGTCTAGTAAGGTTTGATTTGTGATTGAACTTTTTCCCGCACTCAACACATTCATGCTGTTTCTTTTTAGTGCCGATTCTCAGCTGGATCACTGTTTCATTGAGATCCTCCAAGCCTTCCCCTTGGGGAGTGGATTTACCCTGCATCTTCCCTTGGCAGTTTTCCTGCTGCCTTTCTGACCTGCGCCAACTCTCATGGGCTTCTTCCAGATCAGGACTCTGGGAAACATTCACTTTGGATATTCCTGATACCGTCCCATGAGGTTTCACTCGCTTGGGACCTTCCTGCTGTGGATTCTCCTCATCATTCCCACTCACCGTCTCATCACCTGCTGGGACAGAGAGAATCCAGACAGGAGTCAGTCCCTGTGCTGGAGGACAGGGAACTTCAGAAAGGGGAACAGGAAAGGGGGGAACAAACCCAAATATCTGCTGGGGAAATTGAAAAACCAGGAGCTGACTTCCACCCCATCCCTACCTTTCCCAGAAGACAGAGAGAGGAGGGGACCAGTTATGCTTCCACATTCCATGAGAACACTCAGTGGGCCAGGTTTCAGTCATGATGGGTGGGAAGCCATGAATGATATCTACCAGGAAGCTATGTCACCAATCTTCATCTGTAGGGCCCTACCAAATTCACTGTCCATTTTGGTCAATTTCACGGTCAGAGGATTTTTAAAATGGTAAATTTCATTATTTCAGCTATTTAAATCTGAAATTTCACGGTATTGTAATTGTAGGGGTCCTGACCCAAAAATAGGATGACCAGATGTCCTGATTTTATAGGGACAGTCCCGATTTTTGGAGCTTTTTCTTACATAGGCACCTATTACCCCCCACCCGTCCTGATTTTTCACACTTGCTATCTGGTCACCCTACCCAAAAAGGAGTTGCGTGTGTGTGTGGGTGGGTGGGTGGGGGGGTTTGCAAGGTTATTGTAGGGGAGGGGTTGCAGTACTATTACTCCTACTTCTGTGCTGCTGCTGGCAGCGGTGCTGCCTTCAGAGCTGAGCAGCTGGAGAATGGGAGGCTGCTGGCTGGGAGCCCAGCTCTGAAGGCAGAGCCGCTGCCAGCAGCAGCGCAGAGGTAAGGGTAGCATAGTATGGTATCCTGCCCAACTCTGAAGTCAGCACAGAAGTAAGGGTGGCAATACCGTGACCCCCTAAAATAACCTTGTGACCCTCCTGAAACTCCCTTTTGGATCAGGACACCCAATCTGAGAAACACTGGTCTCCCCCCATGAAATCTGTGTAGTATAGGGTAAAAGCACACAAAAGACCAGATTTCACAGGGGGGAGACCAGATTTCATGGTCCGTGACGTGTTTTTCATGGCTGTGAATTTGTTAGGGCCCTCTTCATCTAGGTGAGGTGAGGCAGAACTGGATGAGCATTCCGGGCCTTTGTGGGAATCCCAGCTGTTTACAGCAATGACAGATGGTTTCGCCAATCTGTGTGACTCATTCCTCACCTGTGCAGATGTTTCTCAGGATCTCTCTTTCCTTGGAGCATTGGAGATCTGGTACCCAGGGTTCTTTGCCCCATTCCACCCGGGCAATCATGTCAGGTTTTGGAATTAGAAAACCTGTTCCAGGGAAAGGAAACATGTGAGTCTAGGGTTTTACAGAGTTGTTTCCAGATGTGCTGGCTGGGTGGGCACACTTGTATAAACCAAACAGATGGGCAAATGTTCCTGGAAATCTTTTGGGGGAAGTCAGATGTTTCCTGGAAGATGTGCTGTTGCTCCAGCAGAAGATCCAGGGATCTCCACAAACCAGGTAATTTTATAACTCTGGCAGAGCACAGCTGTGCAACCTCTTCCCCCTTTCTAACAGTGCTGAAGACAGAGCTCTTGCCAGGCAGAGAGCTACTCCTGGGAAGGGAGGGAGACATGAAGTCTCGATTTATGTGAGTGTGTGCCCAAGTTTAATAACACAGAGAGGCATCTACCACCCAGTCTCTCCCTCGGAAGCAATGGGGATGGATTATTCTCTGCATTGTCTCTGAATCTCCTCTCCCATGGGAGAGAGTGTGGGGGAGACAATCTTTCTCACAAGGGTTCTGGGGGCTATGGGGCGGGAATGTCAGAAAATGCCTCCCCCTCAGAGTTTGCACCCAGGGAGGAACGTTCCCGATTCGCTAACATTTGAGAATGTTTTGCTTGTCTGGTTTGATGTGTGAAACGTTGACATTAACGGGGGGTCCCAGGTGTAGGTTATTAAAGCAGGAAGGCTTGAGATAGAGGTGCAAGGGGCCTGCTCAACCCCACCAGCCGTGCCCATAGAAACGGCCTCCCCTCAGGCCTCCAATAATGTCTCTGGGGTTAAATCTCTGACATCAGCCCCCACGGTCTGTCAGAGAAAGGCACGTACCTATGTCGCTGTCCAGCTCCAGTTGCATAGTCTCTAGGGGAAGGAGAGCATGAGAGAGGTAAGAATTCAGACCCCGGCATTCATGGGGATGTTCCAATTGGACATTAATGTAACTGCACTTTTAATTATGAACTAGCAAGGCAGCCCAAGGCCAGCAATGCAGCCGCTGCAGACAGGGCAAGCCCCAGAGGGCTATTGCCATGGCAAAGGCCAGTTCACCCAAGCTGGGGAACACAAGATGGCGCCCGGGGTCAGTGATGTCACGAGAGCCGCCGACTCCTCTCCAGGGCGACTATTACTCTAACCAGAGGAGATGCCACCACGAGACTCCCATTTACCTTTGAATCCCTGCAGCAGCTCCAGCAGGATGGCACTTCTCTGAGAGAAATCCTCAAGTCTCTTCTCCAGCTTCACAAACCCAGACTCTGGCTTCTGCAGCGTTCTGTCCTCCCTGCTGGAGGAAGGCAGAGGGGTGGCAAAGGGGCCTGGTCCACAACCCGAGCCCAGCAGCCCCCGAACTCTGGGGTTATAAGCTTTGTAGACTGAGATGGTCTCACCTGCCTTGAGCCCTGTGCCCAGAGCAAAATGGGACGTGGGAGACACCGAGGCAAGGAACGGTGGCCAATTTGGGAGTTTTCTTTGAACTTGGTCCTTTCACACAAAGCCCCTAATACTTAAGCTAAAGGAGGAACCCCATTGGCTGTCAGATAGTAGCTGGCTTCTCTCCTTACAGAGGCAGCCGCCAGAGGCGTAGACATGGGTGGGCCGAGGCCCACCCACTTAGCATCCAGGCCCACCCAAATCTGAGCAGGGGTGTAGTGCTGCCACAGCGGCCCAGAGCGTCACTTGGGCACCTGAAATCCAGGCTGGAGCTATGCGCTCGCCCTTCAGAAAGCTACACTCCGGCAGCTCTGCCTTGCCGTTTTCTGAGCCACCCCATGCGCATGCCCAGCTCGGCAGGTGAAGCCCTGTGTCTGGGGGCACAAGGGCTAGGAAGAGGGCGTGGCGTCGGGGGAGAAGCGAGCTAGCACCGTCTGTCACTGCCCATCCACCCGCAAGTTAGGGCCCACCCATATTTCCACTCCTAGGTACGCCACTGGCAGCCACTGGGGGGAGACATGATCACGCGCACCAAGCCAGTGTGTCACACTCCATGGACTGGGGGCAGCTGTGTATTCAGTGTGGTTTCCAAGCCTAACTGACCATGAGGGAGACGGAGCCCAGAACTCACCTGCTCTCAGAGCTGCCCACACCCTAGAGAGAGAGAGAGAGAAAGAAGAGGCAGTCAGAAGATGTGTCCCAGGCTGGGGGAGGCCTCCGCTCCTGCAGGCAAGTCGCTATTGGAGTCTCAGATATTTGGGGAATTTCAGACACTCAGAGAGCAGTGGCCATCCCCTCCAGGTGGGATATTTACTCTCAGCAGACCCCGGGGAACCCCTGCTGAGAGGTCCACACTGGCAACCCAGGCACTTCACAAGAAGAAAACATTTGTGACATTCAGCGTGAACTTCGCTTGGTGCTAAGAGCCCACACAAGCCCCTCTTCCCCACTCAACCCAGGGGCTGATCTGGGCTGACACCGGCCCTCTGCACTGGGAGGAATTTCACTCTCTAAGAGTAAGGGCATATACACGTTTACAGGGCGGGAGAGACAGTCTTGGGGTTACAGTGCCCAGGAGCCCTGGATCCCATTCCTGGCTCTGACAAAGACTCACTGTGTGACCTTGGGCAAGTCCCTGCCTCTCTCGGCATCTGTTTCCCCCCTGTGTAAAATGGGGATATGATCCCAATCCCACCTGTTTTGGGATCTAAGGCTGAGATGCTGCCATAGAATTGCTGTGCATTGTCACTGCAATAGCACAATCTCACCTGTACGGATTGGCTCAGTGGCTCCTGCCTGTTCTCTCCTCCCCTCTGATTGAACAGTTCACTGAGCAGAGAAATCTCCTGGGACAGCTCAGAGATGCTCTCGTCCCTTCTCTTGACAATGGCTCTGTCCAGCTTTTCCAGCTGGGACAGCAGCAGCTGCTCCTGCTTCTCCAGAAACCCACATAGATCCTTCCATTCGCAGAGGATCCTCTGTTTCTCGGCTTCCGTCTGTTTCTGCAATTACAGGGAAAGGGCGGCATGGTAACCAGGGGAATATCCTACATTTGTCTCCCAGCAAGATAGGGGAGATATTGGCCAGAGCCAGGATCCCTTGTGGTGCATGATGGGAAGTTCACTTAGAACAGGAAGGATGGAGGGCTCAGGGCAGGGGAGAGCCGCATGTCGCTAATGACAATGGGATGGACTTTTCTCTCCACAACCTCGTCAACTTGCACTGAGCCAAAATCTCCATCCAGTCAGTCCATGTTTTATCTCCTTTCGGTGCTCTACCTTCAAGATTTTAAGGTCAGGAGGGACCATTAGATCATCTAACGGTTTCATGTTCTCTCCACAGGTACTAATGTGGAGAGTGGAGTAGATGATACATCTGAGGGAAGGGAGCAGAAGGAGACTCCACCGATTGGAAGGCATGAGATGCACTGTCCTAGGGATGGGGGTTCCACGACCACCACTCCCAAGAGAAGGAGGAGGGTGGTGGTGGTTGGGGACTCCCTCCTCAGGGGGACTGAGTCATCTATCTGCCGCCCCGACCGAGAAAACCGAGAGGTGTGCTGCTTGCCAGGAGCTAGGATTCACGATGTGACGGAGAGACTGCCGAGACTCATCAAGCCCTCGGATCGCTACCCCTTCCTGCTTCTCCACCTGGGCACCAATGATACTGCCAAGAATGACCTTGAGCGGATCACTGCAGACTACGTGGCTCTGGGAAGAAGGATAAAGGAGTTTGAGGTGCAAGTGGTGTTCTCGTCCATCCTCCCTGTGCAGGGAAAAGGCCTGGGTAGAGACCGTCGAATTGTGGAAGTCAACGAATGGCTACGCAGGTGGTGTCGAAGAGAAGGCTTTGGATTCTTCGACCATGGGATGGTGTTCCAAGAAGGAGGAGTGCTAGGCAGAGACGGGTTCCACCTAACGAAGAGAGGGAAGAACATCTTCGCAAGCAGGCTGGCTAACCTAGTGAGGAGGGCTTTAAACTAGGTTAGCCGGGGGAAGGAGACCAAAGCCCTGAGGTAAGTGGGGAAATGGGATACCAGGAGGAAGCACGAGCAGGAGAGCGCAAGAGGGGAGGACTCCTGTCTCAGACTGAGAAAGCGGAACAATCAGCTTGTTATCTTAAGTGCCTATACACAAATGCAAGAAGCCTGGGAAACAAGCAGGGAGAACTGGAAGTCCTGGCACAGTCAGGGAACTATGATGCGATTGGAATAACAGAGACTTGGTGGGATAACTCACATGACTGGAGTACTGTCATGGATGGATATAAACTGTTCAGGAAGGACAGGCAGGGCAGAAAAGGTGGGGGAGTTGCGTTGTATGTAAGAGAGGAGTATGACTGCTCAGAGCTCCGGTATGAAACTGCAGAAAAACCTGAGAGTCTCTGGATTAAGTTTAGAAGTGTGAGCAACAAGGGGGATGTCGTGGTGGGAGTCTGCTATAGACCACCAGACCAGGGGGATGAGGTGGACGAGGCTTTCTTCCGGCAACTAGCACAAGTTACTAGATCGCAGGCCCTGGTTCTCATGGGAGACTTTAATCACCCTGATATCTGCTGGGAGAGCAATACAGCGGTGCACAGACAATCCAGGAAGTTTTTGGAAAGTGTAGGGGACAATTTCCTGGTGCAAGTGCTGGAGGAACCAACTAGGGGCAGAGCTCTTCTTGACCTGCTGCTCACAAACAGGGAAGAATTATTAGGGGAAGCAAAAGTGGATGGGAACCTGGGAGGCAGTGACCATGAGATGGTCGAGTTCAGGATCCTGACACAAGGAAGAATGGAGAGCAATGGAATAAGGACCCTGGACTTCAGAAAAGCAGACTTTGACTCCCTCAGGGAACTGATGGGCAGGATCCCATGGGAGAATAACATGAGGGGGAAAGGAGTCCAGGAGAGCTTGGTGTTTTTTAAAGAATCCTTATTGAGGTTGCAGGAAAAAACCATCCCGATATGTAGAAAGAATAATAAATATGGCAGGCGACCAGCTTGGCTAAACAGTGAAATCCTTGCTGATCTTAAACGCAAAAAAGAAGCTTACAAGAAGTGGAAGATTGGTCAAATGACCAGGGAGGAGTATAAAAATATTGCTCAGGCATGCAGGAGTGAAATCAGGAAGGCCAAATCACACTTGGAGTTGCAGCTAGCAAGAGATGTTAAGAGTAACAAGAAGGGTTTCTTCAGGTATGTTAGCAACAAGAAGAAAGTCAAGGAAAGTGTGGACCCCTTACTGAATGAGGGAGGCAGTCTAGTGACAGAGGATGGGGAAAAAGCTAATGTACTCAATGATTTTTTTGCCTCTGTCTTCATGAACAAGGTCAGCTCCCAGACTGCTGCACTGGACAGCACAGTATGGGGAGAAGGGGACCAGCCCTCTGTGGAGAAAGAAGTGGTTCGGGACTATTTAGAAAAACTGGACGAGCACAAGTTCATGGGGCCGGATGCGCTGCATCCGAGGGTGCTAAAGGAGTTGGCGGATGTGATTGCAGAGCCATTGGCCATTATCTTTGAAAACTCATGGCGATCGGGGGAGGTCCTGGATGACTGAAAAAAGGCTAATGTAGTGCCCATCTTTAAAAAAGGGAAGAAGGAGGATCCGGGGAACTACAGGCCAGTCAGCCTCACCTCAGTCCCTGGAAAAAGCATGGAGCAGGTCCTCAAGGAATCAATTCTGAAACACTTAGAGGAGAGGAAAGTGATCAGGAACAGTCAGCATGGATTCACCAAGGGGAAGTCGTGCCTTACTAACCTAATTGCCTTCTATGATGAGATAACTGGCTTGTGGATGAGGGGAAAGCAGTGGATGTGTTATTCCTTGACTTTAGCAAAGCTTTTGACCTCACTTCATTCTGAGGCCCCGCCCCTGCTCGGCCTCTTCCCCCCCGAGGCCCAGCCCATCACTCGCTCCTCTCCACCACCTCCCATCCTCGCCCCCTGCTCCCTCCTCTCTGCCTCCTCCACCCCGTGTGAGCAGTGGGCAGGGCCTTGCGGGGGGGAAGAGGCCAAGATAGGGCAGGGCCTCGGGGCAGAGCACAGGCGGAATGGGGGCAGGGCCACAGTCCAGGCACCAGGGCCCACAAAAGATTAATCCAGCCCTGGCCTCAGGGACATATAGGTAGTATATATATATATTGTGTGGATGCGGCCCACATAACACATAGAGAGCAGCATGTGCAGCCCACAATGGTAAATAGGTTGAGAACCACAGATCTAGCTGATCTCCGGTATATCACACATTGTCCAATTTCAAACCAGTGACTCCTGTATTGAACCCAACAACCGGTATCTGACTAAAGCAGGTCTTCCAGAAGGCATCCGCTCAGGATTGAAAGGAATCAAAAGATGGAGAATCCACTGCTTCCCTTGGTAGTTTGTCCTACTGGTTGATCACTCTCACATTTTTATAAAAGTGTCTTATTTCTAATTTGAATTTGTCTGGCTTCAGCTTCCAGCCATGGTTCTTGTTATGCTTTTCTCTGACAGATGAAAGAGCCCTTCAGGATCCAGTATTTTCTTCCTGTGGAGGCACTGAGCCACCTTTTAAAGGAACCCTGGTTCCTGTCATATCTGAACAGCTTGGGCTGGGGTCTTTCTGGGCCAAGACGCAGACAAACGCTTTCCTGCATGGCAGCCACTCACACTCCGAGGGCATCACATTACCCAACACCTGCCCAATCCTGCCCTGTTCCCTGGGCTGCAATGGGGATGGTTCCCTGACTGGGCTGGCAGGACAAGCAGTGTGTTGCCATGTCACTCAGGGTACTCTGATACCAGGCAAGCCTTGGGGAAGGGTTTCTGGGCACCTACCAGCAGCTTCTCACTTTGCATCTCCTCATCAGCTTTGGTTTCTTCTCTCTCTTTTATCAGACAGGCCAGCCGCTCTTGTGACATATCCTGGAAGAAGCGGGGGTGGGAGCCAGGTGTAAGAGGGTTTGATTTTACAGACAGTGCTGTGTCACAGCTGCCAGATTTCAGGGACCCCTCTGCCCCACAGTATCCCTGGCGCACACTCACACAGATCCTAGGGCAGGATTTGGCCCTTAGCTTTCTTGCTTTAAAGCACTGATACTCAGACTGAGGCTCGAGAACCGCAAGTGGCTCTTCAATGTGTCTCCTGTGGCTCTTTGCAGCACATGATAGTAAAACACTGTGTGATTTCATTATTAACCAATCTAAGTTATTATCCAATCAGGATGCTTTTATTCTGTTATTAACCAATGATGTTATTAACTTGCACTGTTATTAACTTATTTGCTTTGAGAATTATATATATATATAAGACTATCCTTGAATCGCAGGATGATTGTCATATAATTGCGGCTGAGTTGCAGACAAGACATGGAAAATCGCAGAAAAGTAATAATGGACCTTTATTAATTGCAGTAATTTGGAAAAGCCGGCTGACAGCAGAAGCCCTGGCCACCCATAGCTGATAGCAGGAGTCCTGGCTGCCTGGGGCTGACAGCTGGAGCCCTGCCATGCGTGGGGATGACAGCCGGAGCCCCGGCCGCCCAGGACTGTCAGTGAGGCTGACTGTTAAAAGGTAACATACATACACCTGAATTCAGCATTAAAATTGTAGTGGAAGTCTAATATTGTGGGATCCACAATTTCCGTAAAATTGTAAATTAAGTAGGGATATATATATAATATTTCCCCTGTCATGCTGTTTAAATATGACTATATAGTACTCTAGTAAATGAAACAATGAATTCACACAACTGTGGCTCTTTTGGATAATAGTGATCACTAATTTGGCTCCTAAACCATTGACTATCACTGCTTTAAAGCTACAGCAGATGGGAGAGAGGATGGCAATCAGGGGGCTGGATTGTCCATACAGAAACAGAGAGAACTGGAAGTAGTAATGATACAGCACAAAAGCACAGCTCCAAAACCCGCCAACCCCCCCCCCCCCAACACCCCCCCCCCCGAGTTCCAAACTCCTTCCCAACTCCCTGACATGCCCCCAAGACCAGCTCCAAATATTGCCGCACACCCCAAATATTCTCCAGAGACCCTGGGTGCACACCATCAATGTATCCCACATCCCCATCACCCCAAAGTCAAATACCCCCCCAACCAAAATCCCAGCTCTTAAAACCCCCACATGTTCAATTCCCCACCATCACCACCACCTGTACTCACATCCTGGCTCCAAGCAAACACCCCCACATAAAGATGACCCACTGTGAATATCCGCTTACTTTCAGAGGTGGAGGGAGGGGCTGAGACTTAGCACCATGCTCTGCAGTAGGCATTGGGCTATAGCTCCCCGCCTGCATCTCCCGACCCCAGCCTCAGCCTCTCCCTGGTTCAGTCACACTCACCCTGCAGCAAGGGCTGTTCTTTCTAGTTTGTGACCTGCGCCCATCGCGTCTCACCTTAGTGCCTTGGGTCATCCCCCGTTCTGGGCCCCACGGGGGGAACTCAGGGTCCCTGGGGCAAACCACGGAGATGGGTTCCTGATCCCCTTGGCAGGACAGTGTCAGCACTTCCCTGGGTCTACCTCATGTCCCACTTCTTCTCGCTCCTCTCCCCCACCCCATGCACTGAGCTGCCTGATGATTCCCGTATGGCCAGCTCTTCTGATTTATTCAAGTCTCATGATATATTGTGATTTTTCTCCTAAGGCCCCAGAACCTGGAGTCGTGTGAGTACACCAGACTCTCAGCTTTCACTTTCTACAAAAATTAAGTTTCTCATCTTTATGGTTGCAATTAAAAAGCATCAACGTGGTGAACCCTCAAGGCTCAAAAGCCAGAAAGAAAATAAAAAAGGGTGACCATACATTCTGTTTTGGCCAGGACAGTCCCCTTTTTTAAGCCGTGTCCCGCCTGTCCCAACTTTTTTGGCAAAAATGGGCATTTGTCCTGTTTGCTCTTGCCTGCTTGATCAGATGGAAAGAGCAAATGGGACAAATGCTCACTTTTGTCAAAAAAGTGGGATGCGGCGGAACGTGTGATGGGGAGGCAGGGCTCAGGCAGGGGGCAGGCAGGGGTGGGGCGAGCAGCGAAGCCAGCCTCGGGGGGGGGGGGGGGGGGGGGGGAGGCAGGGCTCAGGCGGGTAGCTGGAGCCAGCACCGTGCCATCTCCCATTTTCCCTTTGGGAAATATGGTCACCCTAAAATAAAGAGATCTCCACGTGTGTTGTTGTTGTTTTTTTAAATCTCATGATTCTTAAACCAATCTCTTGATTCTCAAATGCTTCAGTGGGCAATAGCGTCATCCCCACCATGCTCCACAGAGCATCCTGCAGGGAACTTTGGAGGAGGAGCCAGGGCTCCACAGGAAGGAAGCCTATGGCAGCAGTCAGTCTGTGTGCACAGGGCTAGCATGCCAGCTACAGTTGCAGCACTTCTGTCAATACTTCTCTGCCAAAGCGCTAGCTCGGTTTTACAAGCCTGGAGTCCAGCTCACGTTATTATTACCCAGTATGTGGCACATGAAACATGCAGGACGGGCTTCTGGCATCTAGGACAGGAAGGGCTCCACTCCGGCTCCTCCAGGGGGTCTGAGTTGCAGGCCCGCGGGCAGATGTTGTGCCCGCAGCTGGCATCTATGAAATATTCCAGGCACACGGGGCAGGAGGAGAGCGTATCTTCCAGGCTCGGCACTGGGCTCCCGTTACCGGCCATGGCCGCTCCGCACATACAAAGGGCTCTAGTCTCTGCTTGGGTTGGGGGAGGGAGGGGGTGGAGGAGAGGTTGTGGTGGGAAATGGAGAGGCGTCTCCTCGCCCGGGATTGGCTCATGTCCTGGGGGCCCCCGCCAGGGTCTTTGTGACACTGGGAGCATTGAGACAAAATTCAGCCTGGAAGGGAGAGAAAACACCCAGATCCCAGGCAGCCGGGTCTGCAGATCCATTGGGGGAGGGGGAGGAGAGAGCCAGGCTGGGGAGACTGGAAGGGGAGCAGCACGGCTGGGGAGACCGGACGCCTGGGTTCTAACCCCAGGGTCTGGGGAGGTTCGGGTCCAACCCGGGAAAGCCCCAGGGGGCGGTTGCAGCCCGAGTTGATATGGAGGGACGCACAGGAAGGGACTGGTGTGGGAGGAAGGGGGGGGGGGGAGAGGAAAGAAGAGAGGGATCAGAGGCTGGGCAGCATCCCCTTGCCTGGGAGCTGCTCATCAGCAGGGCTCTTAGAAGAAGCTGCTGCTGCTGCCTCCCTTGGGAGCCGGGGCTGAGCCGCTGCTGCTCCCCTCCCAGCTGTGTCTGTGCTGGGGAGAGACCTGCATTAACCCCCCTCTGTGCCCAGCCCGGGGGGGACTTTCTGCGGGGGCTGGAACCAGCCCCTGGGGGCAGCCCCGGGCTCTGCCGACAACAGCTCCAGAGCCGGAGCCTGCAGGTGAGGGGAGAGACCCGGGGGAAAGGGCTGGGGCCAGGCAGGAAAGTGACTCTGCACAAAGGGCCCCTGGGAATCTGCTCCCTTGTTTAATGCACCTGCAGGAGGGATTGGAGCTGCCTTAACAGCATGACTGCTGTTGCTGGTCTCAGTCTGCCCTGAGCACTGATCAGGATCTGTCCCAGGGGCAAAGCTGGGGGGGTGGTGACTTCAGATGGGGAAATTGCGGAGGAAGAAGAGGGACTTAAGGGGCACTATCAACAGACCCCCCCAAAGGGAGTGTCCCATTTTTGTCTGAGGAAGGGTAGAGTTGTCAGGAAGCTTAAGAGTGAAAAATATGACAGAGAAGTAGAGACAGTGTGAAATGTGGCCAGTTTAACCATCTCTGCGGTTAGGTGAACAACAGGGGAGAGGTGAAGGGGTGACACACAGGAGAGGGAAGAGTGCGTGTGCGGTAGTGATGGGAGGCGGGGGGGTTAAATGTGCAGCGGCTGTCAAAAAAGCAACCAGAATGTTTGGAATCATTAGGAAAGGGATCTCACAAAACTGGGTGACTGGGCAACAAAATGGAAGATGAAATTCAATGTTGATAAATGCAAAGTAATGCACATTGGAAAACATAATCCCAACTGTACATACAAAATGATGGGGTCTAAATTAGCCGTTACCACTCAAGAGAAAGATCTTGGAGTTATTGTGGATAGTTCTCTGAAAACATCCACTCAATGTGTATCTGAAGTCAAAAAAGCAAACAGAATGTTGGGAATCATTAAGAAAGAGATAGATAATAAGACAGAAAATATCATATTGCCTTTATATAAATCCATGGTATGCACACATCTTGAATACAGATTTTATCCCCCAAAATGTAAATTTCAGACCATAATGTGCATAAATTCCCTTTCTCGTCAGCATTTTATTTATTAGTGTCACCAACTAGTGGGATGTAATTAGAGCTTTATCAGGCACATAGTTGTGACCAAATCCTGCCTGACAGTTGCTGAACTATAATTCAGACAAGGTAATGAGATGGACATTAGGTTGGACATTAGGAAAAACTTCCTGACTGTCAGGGTGGTTAAGCACTGGAATAAATTGCCTAGGGAGGTTGTGGAATCTCCATAATTGGAGAATTTTTAAGAGCAGGTTAGACAAATACCTGTCAGAGATGGTCTAGATAATACTTAGTCCTGCCACGAGTGCAGGGGACTGGACTAGATGACCTCTCAAGGTCCCTTCCAGTTCTATGATTCTATGTACCCACAATTTTTAAAGGTTACCTAAAAAAACAATTGGGTTTGTGACCAATTTCCCCCACTTGTGCTGAATGAAAAAAGACCTGAAAGAGACTTTGGTTTTCTTCTTTTTTATTAAATGTTAGAAGTACACAAGTATTCTGATATTTTCTAAAAGACTCTATGGACAACTGAAGAACTATTAGGTTTACAAAATGCAGGGAACATAGCAAAGGAAACATGATTCTATCCCATGATTATTTTTTTTAAGTATCAGTCACTGTAGTTAAAGCTGTGTGAAACTGGAATTTTATGGAAAATTCTGTGATTTTTAAATTTGTTCCAAATCAGAAAGAAATGTCAAAACTTGGTATTTCCCATGACTGGACTCAATATTCCAGTTGAGGCCCAATGAGCGTGGAGTAGAGCGGAAGAAGTATTTCTCGTGTTTTGTTTTCAACACCATGCTAATACATACCAGAATGATGTTTGCTTTTTTTGCAATAGTGTTACACCGTTGACTCATATTTAGCTTGTGGTCCACTATGACCCCCAGATCCCCTTCCGCAGTACTCCTTCCTAGGCAGTCATTTCCCATTTTGAATGTGTGCAAGTGATTGTTCCTTCCTAAGTGGAGTACTTTGCATTTGTCCTTATTGAATTTCATCCTATTTACTTCAGACCATTTCTCCAGTTTGTCCAGATCATTTTGAATTTTAATCCTATCCTCCAAAGAACTTGCAACCCCTTCCAGCTTAGTATCGTCCGTAAACTTTATAAGTGTACTCTCTATGCCATTATCTAAATCATTGATGAAGATATTGAAGAGAACTGTACCCAGATATGATCCCTGTGGGACCCTACTTGATACGCCCTTCCAGCTTTACAGTGAACCACTGATAACTACTCTCTGGTGATGGTTTTCCAATCAGTTATGCAGTCACCTTATAGTAGCTCCATCTAGGTTGTATTTCCCTAGTTTGTTTAGGAAAAGGTCATGCAAGACAATATCAAAAGCTGTATTACTGTCAAGATATACCACATCTACTGCTTCCCCCCATCCACAAGGCTTGTTACCCTGTCAAAGAAAGCTATCAGGTTGGTTCTTGATAAACCCATGCTGACTG